CACAAAATGTATTCATTACCGGCAGAACTGCGTGCACACTGAACAGCGCTGCAGCATGTCTGTGAGCGAGAGAGAGATGCAGCGTGTCTGTGAGGCCCCGCCCCCGCACGCAGATGAGAGAGAGAGATCTCTTTTAAAATATATTGAAAGTTAGAAACGGAGATGGTTAGATAAAATGTGCAAGATAACGTTAGCATTTCTTTATTGTCGAAATGATGACATTTATAATGGGATCAAATCAAAGTGAATAGCCTGCTGCTGCTGAATGCATTGGGCAAGTGACTGGAAAACGTTTTAAAAGTGATTACATCGTTTCAGATAATAATAATAATAAATAATAATGATAATTCATTCTATTAAGGGGCGCCTTTCAAAGCACCCAATGACACCTTACAATTCATAACATATTCTAAGGAAAGGTTTTAAGACAGTACAAAGAATGCAGTCCGGGTGATGTTTTTGTGGGTGCAGATCATATACAGTCTATGGTGCAGATGTGAGAGCTGTCCAGAATGACACCAAGATGTTGTGTTTGTGCTCTTGATAAGCCATTAAAACAGTAAAATACGTGTCTCCTGTTCACCAAAACATACCCATCTGTTATGGAAAAAGAAAGTATTCCAAAAGTATTCTAAAAGTCATCTGCCACCGGTACCGGCGGGGATTGTTGTTAGCTTCTCATGCCCAGAAGAAAAATCTGGCCCACCCTATTTTTTACAGGCCCACCCTAAAGTACATTTCTGCCTACGCTACTGCTGTAAGGTAGCTTCTAACTTCATGTCGAACAGTAAGTCAACATTTTCCAGAGAGCTTTCTTTGAAATCACCAGGTAACGCTAAAAAACAGTGTTTATTTAATATCTCTGGCTAGCTATAGCTACTTGCTAACGGTTTAGCTTACCCCCGCGATTCAAAGTAACGTCAACGTAGCTGTAATTAATGCTTTGCTTACATGTTCGCATAACTTGGAAGTTTACTGACATTTACATACCTTGTTTACCTGGCTCAAATGGTGGATCTGGGGTTGTTGTGTGAGCCACCACTTGAGAATTGTCCTATTTTTTAAGAAAAAATGTTCTTATGTCTATCTTCAACAACTCTGAGTCCGACTGACAGTTTAAACACTGTCACAGGATAGGTACCTGTCAGCCAATAAGACACGTTTATTTCCATGCAACTCTCTGGTTGGTCTGGTGTCTTGCCTCTGTTGCATTCACTGAACACGGGAAATTACCATCTGCCGTCCTCTCATGATGAGGTAAAGCATGGTTAATGTATTATATTATTGAGGGAGAATTGTCCGGGGCTACAGAAAAAACATTCGGGGCTTTGGTCCTGTATAATAACATCATATTAAATGCAGTCATTTGGTCTTTAGCAACAGCTTCTGAGAGCAGTGCATTCATCGGTGTTCGTTTTAATGCTGCCAGTTTGTTGACGGACTGTGTGTTGATGGGAGGATTCTCATGCTCCCTAAATGTTTCCCCTGCCTTTGGCCAGTTCTTAAATCTACCTTTCACAACACTCCCATCCCTGATCTTGTCTGCACTGACAAGCTTCATTTCTATAGCAGAGCAACAGAAGAAGCACACCGCATTATCACTTTCTCTTATTATTTAGTGAAGCTTTTTATTAACTGCTTACACTAAAATGCTAACTCAAAAATAGTAACTCAAAATAAAACTTTTGTATTGAATGAATGAATGAAAACTTTATTACGGACTCAGGGTCCAGATAAAAGACAAGACATTGCATATATATGTATTGATTTGTTTAGTGAACTTTTGTTGTTGCAGTTACAACTCTCCGCCAACAGATGGGGGTGCTGCAGCCCCCTCAGCACCCCCCCTTCCCGCATCCCTGGTGTTATAAAATATCCACTATCTATCCATCTATCTTCACCACTCGCTATCAAACTAACCTTTTATTTCCAAGCAGGAGATTTGTGAGGGAAAACAAACAGAAGTCACTTCAGGAAACACATTTTCACTTCAATGTTTTTATTTATCGCGCAACATGAAACAATATTGTGGGGTTTTTACCACATACACTATGTATTCACATAATACACCATACAGCTACAAAGAGAGAGAGACTGAACAAAAACACTTTTTTTTTTACATACTGCATCCTTGACATGAAAAATAAAGAACCAAGAACAATCCTAAAACTCAGAAAGGAATGTAGCTGCCGTTGTGTAGGTTCATCTTTTTTTTATCGTACGGGGCCAGAGTCCAAGTCTCAAAATTCAGAGTGTTAAATTAAATTATGTGTCCTTTAAAAGTGGGCCATACACAGTGAGATGTAAATCTGTGTGTGTGTGAATGTGTGAGAAAAAATATACAAGGTGTGAGGAATAAAAAGAGGGGGTGAGTAGAGGAAGTGCATGAACAGGGAGAGGAAGGGAGGTTCTTGTTTTGATCAAAACATCTTCAGTTAGTACAGCTCAAGAGCCTTTGGTTCTTGAGCTGCACCAAACCCGGATAACAGTCTTCATTATGATTCTATATCTTATCCTAGTTTGAATGACTTCAAGTACAATATGCAATGAATATTAATCAGAGAATATGAGCTGTTTGAGCGCCCCCCTGGCCTCACAAAGAGATGTAAATTTGTAGCATCGTAATAAAAGACTTTTCACAAAGTCAGCACCAGGACAGCTTCCCCTCATGTGAAACTGCTTGAATCAAAAGTATACTTCTCCTGACATTCGAAGAGCTCAGAAAAATATTTGTGGTATCATTTTTCCCCTCGCAATTTTACTTTTTTTTTTTTTTTAAACACAGTGAATTTCAAGGTGTAGCTTCATAGCACCAGCTTACCAACCCCCAAATCTCAGAACCATAGAAATATACAAAGTTATTAAGATATCACATACACTGTATCCTCAGCACCAATCGTTAGGCAAGTGTGTGTGTGTCTCTGTGTGTGTGTGTCTGTGTGTAATGTGGGCCATGCATTAGGGCTAAAGAGTAAAATTGCACCAGTGAAACTACCGTTGTTCATGATTTTTGATCAATTGTTACAAGCTAAACACAGGGGCGTCATGATTTTTATGCCAAGTGCATACGTACTAGTATGCGAGCTATAGTAGATTATCGTAGATACGTTCAAACACACAGGGAGGCCGTCTCTTTCCTGATAGGCTAACACAACTGACAAAGATACCCGGGCTTATTACTGGCTAAAACATCGCCCACTGATCCCCTCAGACTGACTGTATATCCCTTACACCCCCCCCCCCCCCTCTGGATGTGGTCCTGCACATGATCCACGGTAAAATGAATAAAGGGAAACTCTTCTGATATTCGGGGGAAAAGTTTGAAAGAGAGATGAGAAGATGGATGTAACTCAATTCTGTACGCAGCTAGTTAGCTTAGCATTAAGATAGGAAACAGCTAGCATGGCCTCTATAAACGTATAAAGCAACATTGGTTAATCCAAAACCGGAGTTCGTTCCTGTCAGTGTTACACTCTGCACTAAGATGATTGTATTTGTTTGATCTATGTGGTAAAAATCGAGTTGTTTCAAATACACCATTAGGCCACATGATTTAAGTTGTTAGCTTTCTTTTAAAAAGACAAAAAGCATTTGAACAAATCGTTTATCATTGAAAAATGAAACATTAACACCTATTTGTTCTTATGGTTATAACTTGCATACGATTTTATTCCTTAAAATATGAATAATTTTAAACCTACTGTAGAATAACCATGATAGTTGTCCATCATTATGCTAAGATAAGTTTGCTCAAGCTCCATATCTAACATCTCATCTTCTCATCTAACTCTCTTAAACAAAGTGAACTTTGATGATTTCCCATAACGTCACACTGCTCCTTTAAACCACAAACTGCTCCAATCACATGTACGGCTCATTTTTAAGATGTTTAAACACAATTTAAAAAGTTTTTTAAGCTTCTTAAATACTTGTTGTTGTAGACATGACGGTGTGGTCACTGTGGGGGAACCTCCAGTTGTTTAAAGGGAAGTGTAGTTTCATGCTAGGTTATGAGTTAGTTTGATAGAGGGAGGGGTCTCTGTCAGTTGACATGCTGACGAGGGGTACAGTACTAAGGAAAGCAAACAGCAGTGTTACTAAGCACACATTTACACACAACACACGTGTTGCTCACTGTTGTTGAGGGCTGTCAGAGACTTCAAAATACCCCCCTGTCATTCATGGTTTAGTTACTATCCTCACCAGTTAAATAATCTTACCTAAATATTTTAATATTTACATTTTTATCTCTCTCTTGAGAAAAAAAACAAAAGAACAAAAAAACTAAGCTTCAAGTTGTCAATAATCGGCTCTTTCTTTTCGTCATTAAAATCAAGATTAAAAGTGCTTTTATAAATCTTTTCTTCTCTATGTACAATTTGTATTAGCTATATAAAAAAACAAAGACGAAAAAAAAAACATCAAAGACAATCATCATCATCATCACAATGTAGTAATAAATAAGAGTACAAAATAAAAAAGGAGGTTTAAAATGAGTGTGGAGATCGTGAGCGTGTCTCGGCCCTCAGTAGCACGTTGTGATTGTGACCAGTGTCTCTGCAGAGAGGCCAGAGCTGGAGACGCTCAGAGAGGTAACACCACCCCCCAGCATCCAGGAGTTAGCCTGTTCCCAAATCTATTACTCGCTCACTTTCATTGCAAGTAAACCATGTGACCGTTTGAATTCAAATGGATCACGTGGTTGCTGCCTGAAATCTAAAAGGAGTAATTCTATCCGTCAGATAGTCTCTCTCTTTGGCTTTTCTCTCCCACGCACCCTGGCATTTTCAGACTCAATGCACTTGGCGCCAACTCCTAGAAGCTACAGTCGTTTGTTTCCAAGGTTTCCTTTCTATTTCTCTGTCAACGGTTTACTACTTATGCACCAAATGATTTTCTCAGCCATAATAAAAGCACCTCAAAATAAACCAGAGACTCCCACTTTGATTAACAGGCTCTGTGGTGCCTGCTGAAGGACGCACCCCCACCCCCCTCCCCACCCCACCCTCTGCTAGAAGATGACAGCACCATGCAGAGGGAAGGCCCTTCACAGTAAATCAAGTTTGATAGGAGAGCACCAGAGTGTGTAGGAGCACCACTATCAGGTCTGAAGCAAACCCAGGAGGGGCATCTCTAGACGTTATTCACATTTGTGCCACAAGGGGACAAGTTTTACCTCTAGCTGCATTTCGAAGGCCCATGCACGGTCAGCAGGAAGGGGGCGAGACCCCCCCCCCCCCCTGCTGGCGGTGGATGGGTAAAGCAGCAATGCAAGGCTCTAATGGTGCTTGCAGGATGTTTGTACACACCGCTTTGACACTGCTGCCCTCTAGAGCTTACACAGAGAGATGCTCACCACTACTTGAATGTAATAGGAAGAAAGCGTGTGCCACCAGTTCTGTCTCTGTGCGGTAGAAGTTGCAGATCTGGGTCAAGTGGCATTTGCAAAAAGTGTCACTTATTTCAGCCTCTGTGGGGCAACAGATGTGTAAAGTTACAGGAACAAATGGCAAGCAAACGATTCCTCTTTGCACAAATGACACATGTCTCGAGGTATTACATCATCACTCAATCAATCAATTCACTTGCCAACGCTATTTGAGCCAGATTAGAGTCAGAGCACCGAAGCACAGCATCAAGTGCCGTGAAGAGTAACCGAAGGAATGAGAATCGATCAGAGCTGGAAGTTGAGCACCAGTTGGAAAAAGCTGGAGGGGTGCAGAAGAGGAGGAGCACGTCATCTAACGGCAAGAAAAGCAGCAACTTTCTGTCCGAATTTGGGTTAAAATGTCGATTGCAATTGTTCTAACCTGGGCATTGTTTCCTTGTTTTGCATCGCGGTGCTTGATTTTGATTCACTTCAGTTTTAGAGTGCTAGGGGATCAAAAGCAAAACCAAGCGCTGCTCTTCAGCTCTAACATCAAAGACACAGCCTTTTCATGTGTCCTACTTCTTACTGCGACCACATCAAAAAGGTCAACATTAAAGTCCAATTGTTTGTGCAACTACAACTGTTATTTCCACTATACTGCTTTGACCGCAGAAACCACTTCTACTTATCAGTCAACAACAAAACATGTTCTTGTTGCACATTATGCTAGGAAAATGCAAATGGTGAAAATTTGAAGCAAATACCGAGATAAAGTATATGCAAGTGCCAGGTAACAGCAAATATAATATAATGTATTCGACAAAAGTGCTGCTGGTGCACTGAATCATTCCAGGTAATGACATTTGAATATTAAACACAGTAGGGAAGTTGATAACAATTGCAATGATCTTTTATCGAAGTCTAAACTGCCTTGAATTCAAAGATACGTATCTGTTTATTAGACAAATAAAGATAGGTATCTAAGGCTTTGTATACATATGTACGCTACGGATGATGACTTTGCGCGTTTCTTGCCAGGCAGATAGTGTCTCCTCCTCTAGGTACAGCTGGAAGTTTGACAAGAACAAAGACAAATCGGAAACAGAAACAAAAGGGTACACGTTTTCCAAACACGGAAAAAGCAAATGTCTGACAGACTCAGACTGATTGATTTAAAAAAAATACATAACCAAAAAAAACAAACAATCACATCATTAATAATAACATTAATGACACCAGCAATAATAAAAAAAAACAAGTCTTCATTATAATAATACCTGTAATAACAACATTGACAGTAACAATAGCAATCATAATAATATTGATAATAATAGCAATAATTCGAATCATTAAAATTCTATGAACAAGAAAAAGCAAATGGAGTTCCTCTCCGGGGACGAGAGAGGCAGAGCACCACAGGCAGTGTGTCGGAAACACCTGCCTGACATGAGGTAAAAAACAATAAAAACATCCCCTCCTCCAAGTGGACTGTGAAGGGGGGGGGAGATGCCAGACTGCAGGACGGCTGAGAGACATTCATCCACCCTGCGCTGCTCCACCGTCAGTGTGTGTGAAGGTCCGCCCTCAGACAAAGTGGCTGTAGGGCCCAGTGAGGCGGGTGAAGGCATAGGGAGACACAGTCACCATGGAGGAGGTGTGGCAAGTGGAGGCTAACCGCGTCACCGGCCCCTCCCTGCTGTCTTTAGATTGTCCCGGTCCTGGGCTGGCGCCGGCCGCCGTCGTCCCCCACTTGCGCTTCTTCGAGAGCGCCTTGATCTCCTCCTGCGAGAGGCCGAGCAGCGCGCCCTCCAGCTGCCGCTGCCGCGCCCGCTCCGCCAGCAGCTTCATCTTGGCCTCCCAGATGGCCAGGCCGTGGTTGGGCTGGTTCAGGTTCTTGTGCTGGTAGAAGACCAGGGAGATGCGGGTGGGGTGGGAGCGATCGGGCTTTTTGAGCGGAGTGGTGGCGTGCAGCTCCCGCCGAGCGCACTCGATCAGGATGGAGCCGTGGGTCGGGGCGACCGCCACGCCCCCGATGTTGTTGTCCAGGAAGTTGTGCTCGCTGTCGGACCACTCGTCCTCCTCGCGGCCCTTGTTGCTCTCGGCGTCGCTCTCTGCGCAGCCGGGGTTCCAGCTCGCCTGATCCGACTGCTGCAGGGCGTCAGGGAAAAGGCGGCCCTCGGGGACGGGGGACGGCGTGCTGCCCGCCAGCGAACCTCCGCACGACTTCCACGATTTCTCCTGCAGCCCGAGGGGAGTGGGACACCGACTCTCCCCCGTCTTGGACCAGATCTTGTCGGAGTAAGCTCCTGCGGGGTTGCTGTGCTTCAAACCGGGGATGAACGCCGGCCCCATGGCCCACGGGTTGGGCTGAGGGCTGGGGGCCGGACTGGGCCAGTGCTGAGGTGTTCCCGGACGGGGAGACCCCTGGTGGATGTTACCCGGGAGTGCTGGGACGAGATGAGGGGACGGAGATGGAGAGTGTATCTGGAGTGATGGCGACGGGGCAGGGGATGCCATCCGGGGGTTTAAGCCGGGGTAGGACGTCCACTGCTGGGGGAACGGCTGCTGCTTGTCGGGGGTCATCAGCGAGGCCTCGGGGGCGATACTCCCATTGAGCTTGTGCCCAGGCCAGGGGGCCGGCTGGGGGGTGGTGCTCGGTGTGTTAGCCTGGCTCTGCATCGGGTTCTCATACACCGGCATGTCCATAGGCTCCTGTTTGATGAGCGGCGTGCCTCTGTTGGAGGAGTCGGAGCAGACGGAGGAGGGACGGGACCGGGTGTAGTCCGCAGGCTGGATGTAAGCGCTTTGGTTCGGGTGGTTGGCGAGCTCGGGGGGGTTCGGGTAGGACTGCGCCAGCCGGGCCTGGAGACTCTGAACTTCCGGCTTAGTGTCCACCGGGACAGGAGTGCCGCCCTGTTTGGGCAAAGAGCTGTTTCGACCCTCGTAGGTCCTCAGCTTGGGGCGGAAAAGTGCATTGGGGGGGTAGTTGTAGTAGCCATAGTGCATTGCGGGCAGATTGGGGTGGAAACCGTTGACGGGGTCGGGTGCAGAGGGCTGGCCGGTGGGGGGGGGGCCTCCCCTTGCATAGTAGGCAGGGTGGGGGTACCTGCTGTTGAAGGGGTCTGCTGCCTGCACAGGGTATCCATCCATTGATCCGTTGAAGGGCTCCTTCTTGATGTTGGGCTTCACCTCTTGTTTTATAATTGCTGAAAGTTTAAAACAGAAGACAAGGTCAAAAGAAAACAAACTTCAAATACATTTCAGTTTGTAATGTTTGAGCTTTCTGTTTAGTGTTAATGAGATACTTTACCATCTTTGCAAGGTTCTAATCAATTCCCACTAAAAATGACTTACTGCAACAAAGCTACCCTGGATTGAGGAAGAGCCTTTGGTTGTATAAAACACAATTTTGGGAGAGATTAAATACATCTTTATTCAACAAATGTATTTTTGTATTTTACAAAGCTCTTCAGTTATCTAAAATGAAACAATATCTACAAAGCCACCGCTGGAATCTAATTCTACAAATAGATGAATGCAGCCTCAATCTCCAACTGTGCAGAAAAGCCAGGTTTAGATATATGAAAAGCCGTGCAGCGCTCATATATCATGAATGAATCTGGGTCGTACTATGGCTTTTAATTTGGGTTAACTTTCACTTCTCACTGGTATCATTGTCCATGTTTTACTGTCTTTTTTCTGTTTTGCTTTTATTTTACATTTTAAAATGGTTTTATTTTAACCTATTTTAATTTCTTGTCAGCTTTAATTTAAGGGAATTTCATTAGGATCACTTTATGTGTTATCTTGTTCTGTATTTATTGTAATATTGTTGTTGTGTTTTCTTCTTGTTCTGTAAAGCCCCTGTCACACTGTCCCGAAATTGACACCCGATGGTCACACGATTAAGGAAATGTTCAAATTCGGCTCTGATCGTAACAACATCGGGCCATTCGTGAGGGCATCTTAAGCCATCGTATGACCGCCGGTGGAGTTTCTTATGGCTCCGGCAGCAACTTCGTGAGCGGCAACTTCGTAAGGCACTCGTGAGGGCATCTTGTTATCATCGGTGCCATCGGGCATTCGCCCTCACTCTGATCGGGGCGAATGCCCGATGGCACCGATGATAACAACATGCCCTCACGATGGCCTTACGAAGGGCAAAATTGACACACGAATTCAACACGAAAATGAACCTTCACAAGGTCCTTCGGCAATATTTTGGCATGCCAAAGATTTTGCCACCGCTCACGAAGTTGCTGCCGGAGACCTAAGAAACTCGGCGGTCATACGATGGCTTAAGATGCCCTCACGAATGGCCCGATGTTGTTACGATCAGAGCCGAATTTGAACTTTTCCTTTATCGTGTGTCCATCTGGTTGTTTTATTGCACAACAAAATCATGTAAACATATTATGTAAATAACCCAATTTGTGTTCTGTGAAACTGAAAAGGATATAATATATTATTTTGAAGGTGAGTTGACAGGAAGTTGTTGTTGCTATGGAAACAACATTACGGAGAAAACTTAATATCTTCTACATAG